TTGCCAATGTTAGGATTAGCTGCTACACCAAGAAAACTGTCTTCACCATGCCCAGATACTACATAGTTAAACGGAATCTTCCCATATTTTTGAGGCCAAAATTTTTGAAGTAGAGGAGCTGCAAAGCTATTAATAAAAAAAAACCCCAAAACAAGAACCCAACTAATACAAAACCAAAACAAAACCCAACCTTGCAACACAATCCTTTGCCCTGAACCTTAGTAGTAAATTGACTATGTATTTTTAATAATATTTGTGAAATCACAGGGTTGGAGGAAATTAAAACTGCTTTGTCATTAATAGATCTTTGTTCCTTCATTTTTGATGGCACATAAAAGCCTTCGCAATCATTCTGAAAATAAGATACCTATGTTAAATATTGTGGTAAAGTTAAATGTTTGCAAAGTCTAATAGGTTGATAGAGATGTGAGGTAGAACTTTATAAAGTGCACCATTTGTTTTGAAAAACAAAATTGCCTAACCCGTAACTTCTGTGTTTTCACGAAATGTACCTGAGAGACATTTCATCGCACAGTGCCTTCCCATGAAGACAATGGTTGAGCTACAGGACTGTGGTGGAGACAGTGTGTGGTGTGAATCCGAAAACTAACCATAAGCTTCTCACTGTTTTTGTAGGGATACTGGACTCCTGCTTGCATCTTCAAAATACAATTCTTGGAGCAGGGGATGGGTAAAGATAAATCACAGAATTTTGGCCATTTCTCTTTTAACACCTTTCTTAATCCTTTATCTGTAAGATCTTACTCTACACCTGATCATCTCAGATTTCATTTATAAGTTTTCATCCCCAAGCCACCCACCTGAGCCCCTGTGGATGGGAACAGAGACATTCAAAGCTTTTTGGTTTCTGGCTATGTAATACTGCAAGCACAGCTCGTAAACTGGAGAGTAGGAGGGTTTCTCAGCTTGCTGAATAGCTAAAATGAGACCAAATTTATTCTATTATCCTCAGCAAGGGATGTCTGTAAATTCTTGCTTGGTTGTATTGGATTATAAGTGAAACACTGATTATATTGCACAGCTAGTAAAAACAGCATACAGGAGTGATTCAGTGATGACTGCCAATGGTTTGTTTCTGATTCAATTTGCACAGCTAGTAAAAACAGCATACAGCAGTGATTCAGTGATGACTGCCAACGGTTTGTTTCTGATTCAACGTTTTTAACTGTGATATTGTCCTGGACCACATATGCCTTTGAGTCTGACTTCATTTACATTTCAAATGCAAACAGGATCTTCTGTGTCAGGTTGGGGTTAAGGAAGGTAGATGCAATCCTCATCTCCTCTAAATAAGTTTAACTTCCTTCTGCAACCCAACTGAGCTTTGAATGACTTGTTGGATGTCAGTATGTTAGGATTTGAGATCAGAACCAGCAATCCTGTTTCTAGGCTTGGAGACCAAGCACTGGTGCACACCAAGCTTCTGCCACAACACAGGCATGTTGGATAAGCTTATTTGGTCAGGAAAAACTGCCTTTTTGCCTTATCTAGCACTTACTTCACCAACATCTGCCCACAAATTTTCTTCAAGAATCTGCATTAAATAAATGTAGTCAAAGATGATGCTCAGGTTCAGGAGTCCCACGAGCTAATTTATACTCCTCAACAGAGAATGAGAGTTTTGAAATTTGACCCAGCTCTGAGTGCTTCTACATGCTGCTTGCGCTCTGATTAAAGAGAAAAAATACAGCAGTTATCATGCTTATTGATATAAGCCAGATTTTTTTTCTTAATATGCAAGGCCTTGGGAATCATTTTTCCTGGAAATAGTGCAAAGGACATTGGGAATGCCTTGAAGTGCCAAGAGTTTTTGGACAGTTTTCAGAAACAATAGCTCTCCTTGGTTTGCTTTCCCCCTGCGTTGATTGAGCTCAGCTTTTTGGCCTGCAAAGCATTTTGATTTCAGAAATGTTATTGTTACCAGTGTGTTACGACATAGAGGCTGGGGAGAGAGGGGTTACAAACGCAGGACAGCAGGTTGCCAAGGGCCAGCTGGAAGGAATGGAGCTGTGTAGAGCCCAGACTACATTTCTGTTGAGGCAGTGGAGGGCTGGTATTGTGCTTGCATGGTTTGTGTCTCAAAAACCACTTCAGTACAACTTTTGCATAAAATGAAGTCCTATCTTATCTCCATTTGCCATTTTCGCTTAATGGGTTTCTTGTAAGGCAAAAAAGAACCCTTCAAGCACCCTGAGTAGCAAGTGCTTGTCCTGCTGCTCTCTGATATTAATTGTGGAGAATTTAAAAGAAATAACCTCACACTCTTGGAACCTTTCCTACACGATGCTAAAAGTGTAGGATGTTAGACAGGCAAAGAGCTCGTGTGTCATCAAGGCTGGACTTCCTTAGCACAGGCTGGACAATTCTTACCAGCTCTGGCATGGTGGAAGCAGAGGGGATGGAGAAGACAGTGGCACAGGAGGGGTGCAGCAGGTTCAGGCTGGGGCATGCTAGGTATTAGCTGTGGGGATTGCCTGATTTATGCCAAAGAGATGAATAACTGAGGAAGCTGCAAGCACTGCTGCTGAAAGGCCAGAAGTATGAGAACTCAGCCATGCATTTAGAGAGGGTGTGGAGAAGGGGACAGGCTATTTGGCTGAAAAATTAATTCTTTTGCTTAGGAAGAGGTGAAATGGAGCTTGTAAAACAACTGCAAATCCTGCTATGTTCCTCTGGGGAAAGGTATGCTTTTTTCCCATTAAATGGAGAGTTTAAATATAATAGTTCAATTTTCACTGTATTTTTCTTTAAATGCAAGCATCCAGGATGGCACTCATGATCTTCACTTTTGTGCATCTTTCTTTAATTTTCTCCTGGTAGTTACAGGGTGGAAATAATCTTGTGCAGCTCCACCAGGAAAGCATTTGGTGACTAAAGCTGTTGCCTCGGGGGAATGAAGCTGAAAAAAATTCAATTTATATAGCAATTCCTGACCTGCAAATTAACTTTGGATTGTGAACTATTGCTGTCTCAATCTACATGTACTGAATGCACTCTGCATTGCCCACAAGAAAGTTAAAAAGCCAAACCCCTCAAAACGAAAAGCTCACCCTTATGGAGTGTTAGGTGTCAGAGAAACATCAGTAGGACATCTTGAGGAAAATTGCTTCCACTAAGAAGCAGAATGGCCTACTTATGCTTGTATTTAGAAGATTGCAATATTTTTTTGCTGTAGAATGGAACAGTTTTCACCACTGATGGACAGAGGCTCACATCAGAATTCAAACATGAGAAAACACTTCTAAATAATTTTCTGGACTTATTTACATTAAGTCTTAATGAAGCAAATGAGATGATTAAATATCACATTAGAGATGTGAATAGAAAGAGATCCTATAACTATAGCTGGCAGAATAATTGTTAAGTTAACAGTCTTAAGGAGCTGTAGCTAGCTATGCTTCCCTCAAGATACATACACTATTGTGAATTTGTAAATTTTCAGTCCAATAAAAAGAAGTTATGCACTGGGGAAAAAAGATTAAATGCAATGTGCATTCTTGAGCAACAGACTCTCTGGTTTTCTATCTGCCTGAGGGGAAGAGGGGCATTAACAAGGCTGTCAGCTGTTGCTGTGGATGTGAGAGGCAGTGATAAGCAGGCTGCAGATCAGAGGTATGATAGAGGGAACAAGCAGCCTCTGGGGCAGGCCAGCTAGGAATGAATAACAGCATGAGGTAAAAGCAGCAGTCTGGGGAAAACTGTATTCCCACTGCTGGAGTATACAAGTATGGGCATGCTGGGGAGGGTTTATTAAATCGAAAGAGTCAAAACATCATACTTGTAGGCCTGAAACTATTGAAAAGTTTATCAGGCTTGAGTGATCATAGCCATCCCTCCACATACTGAGAGAAGAGTAGTGGTGTCTCTGGTTGCACTTGGATATGGGAATTGTGATGGGACCACTGCACTGCCCATGGAAGTAATAACTTGGATACAAAGCAGAATATATTTACATACCAAATTATTTCCAGTCCAACAGTAAATTCCTGACAGCTGGAAGAAAATAGTGTCCAAGAGGACAAGTCAGTCACCAGATGGCTGGTTCTGCACCAGCACAACAGCTGTCATCACAAACAGCACTGGAGTTAGCCACGAAGTCGGAGAAGCAGCCTTGATAAGAGGCCAGCCAGGAAGGAACTACAGGCGCAGATGTTGCTGCTATAGCAGGCAGGGGAAGAAAATGAGAATTCAGAGCTTGGCATCTGGGCTGTTACAGCGCCAAGAATGGCAGTGAATGACTGTAAGGACTGGCTCCATTGCCCGGGTAAGAATGAGCATAAACAACTACAAAATCCAAATCCAAATTCCTTAGAAGAATAAAAGACAGGTTTAAGTCCCATCTGAGATGCCTGTTTATGTCTGGAATAGCTAAAGAAACTACCCAGGAAACTACTTTTGAAATAGCCATAGAGCAGCTTTGGCAGGGTAGTTCTTTGGTCTTCAACAAGACTTGAGCTGAACAGGCCTACAGTTTCTGCCCCATGTCCCATGAATTCCTGTGAGCATTCCCATGGGGAGGTTTGCCACTTGAGAGACATGGTGAAAATGCAAAATGAGGAACACAGTGACACAATTTAGTCATGAAAACAAAAATGTGTAGGAAGTTTGCTTGGGATGAGAAGCAGTTTTGCAACTCAGGTGCAAGAGCCACCTGATTCCCTACTCTGTGGATGAGTTGGGGAATGGATGGCAGCAGCCCTGCTGTCAGGCCCTTTTGCTACTTCTTGTAATGTGTGCTCCCCCATCTCTCTTAAATGCAGAGCTTGAGATATATTTATAGAGCACTCTAAAGTGTATACACAGCTGTAAAATTGCCGAAAAGACTTTTCCTGCCCCAGAGAGATTAAAAGCTCATTCTCACAGATAGGGTATATGGACTAGGAGCAAAGGGCTGAATTGAGACATTCCTTGTGGGAAATTGGCACAGGATAGTTTCCTGGAGTGAAATGAGCCTTCAGGAACAAAGAGCAGGTGGTAGGGAAGTGTGGCTGTTCTCCTCTCTGGGGACCCACTAATGAAATGTATGCACAAGAAATCAAGATTTGAGCATAGCTGCACAAGCCATTTGAGGAGCTAGTGTCTGAGCTTGAATGGCCACCCCAGAGCTAGCCAGAGTGGAGATTATAATCTTCAGTACTCTGATACTATTGCCTGAACCAATTACATGGGAGTACTTGGGCACCAAACCATCCCTTGTGAAATAGGGACAAACCCTAGAGTAATGAGAAGTCCATAGATTTGGGAAAGTGAGTGAGCAAGACTAAATACAGCTATGGAGATGAGAACTGGAGAAAAGCACAAGCCTGGCAATTGAGAACCAACTCCTAAGTCACAGCAATGAACACAGAGCAATCCTGAAATAAGGATTTCAAATGGTAAGGCAAAGAGTAAGAAAAGGAGATGATGAATTCCAACACATTGCAGAAGAGAAATATTAACAAGATTGGAAGTAGAAATCATTTATTTCACTAGAAGTAAATACTGTCTGATCTTGAATGGAGGTCAGACTTCTCCAGTTCATCTGGGTTTTGTTAAACTGAAGAAAAACTCCATTTACAGATTATTTGTATTATGATCACATCATACAATGTGGTGACTTTGCTGTTTTGTAGTGTCTAGTTTTTCACTGTAACACTGATTTCTTTTTCTTTTAATGGAGTTAAAATGGCACAAGAGAAGTGTCTAGGGAGAGGCAAGCTCTTCTAAGCTGTAAGAACTGTCCAATGGAAGATTCAAATGAGAGTGAAAATACTCTGATCCCATACAATAAAAGAAGGAAGGAGCACATAATTAGCTGAGGACAACCGCTGAGAGTGACATATGATAGCTAAAAGCTTCTAGATATGCATAGGAACTCAAACATGAATGAGGAGTCTACTACAGTAGGTACTAACAAAATAATAAAAATCTAAAGAATAAACAGGAAATACAGAAAATGTTAAGGTGATGTAGTAGTGCTATTTTCAAAATTTACTAAAACCATCTTATGTCCACAAAAAAATCTTTTTGTGCTACAACTCTCAAACTAGAAATATTGGATTTTTAATTAAATCTTTCACTGTGCTTCTACAAAACACAGTTGTTAGTATAGGAGTACTGGTGACTGGGTAGAGTATATTTTCCAAAATGATGCAGAATAACACCACACACATATATGCTGATATATGTTTAGAGAGCCTGATGTAGAACTGGATGCTTGGACAAAAAACTTCTTTGTCAAGAAGCAGTGCTGGACTCCTGCAGCCTCTTAGGTCTCCTCTGCTGCAGGTGCTGTGCATGAACTGGTGCTGTTCTCCTTACTGTCTGGCTATTGCTGTTGTGTTTAATCAGGAGCAGCACAGGGCACCTCTGGAAAAAAATAAAAAAGACTAGAAAGGATGACAGTGGTAACACTGAGAAACAGAAGCAGATGGAGGTGAAGCAGTGAGAACAGGATGTAAAATCTTTCAGCTCCAGGTTCTATGTTCACATTTGGGGAAGAGCACCAGTGACTGGCTGCAAGTTACTTATATTGGGAAGCCTAGTTGAAATGCACTCTTGTCTGAAAATCTCAAGTAACTGCAATACCTACTGGTGGGACATGAACACATGGATAGAGAAGAAGAACAAAGCTCTTCTACATCCTTGAGTAATGGTGTCCCTGGGGAATGGTATGGAAAAACATAGTGATGGGGGTCAACTGTGAAACCTGCACTTGCACATGCTGTGATTATTTCCCAGAAAACACCATGTATGTGGCTCCAAGGCAAGCACTTGCTTGTAGACTGCAACAGAAGCACTGTAGACTGCAACCCTTTCACAGTATGTCTGACTTTAGTACTATTATGCAGATTCGACTCCTTAGTCCTGCCACGAGGGATAACTCTGCACAATAGACTACTTACAAAACTTCTTTACTACAAAATGTACATATCCAAGTCTATAATTCACCTTGTACAGTGTGGATGGAATACCTCTGAAATGATTTCTTGACCCTTTGAACATTAACATAAATGATGGAAAGAATTCAGAAGAATAAGGTAAATATTTATAAACCTGCATTATAAATCAATGGTCCTGTAATTTCTTTCACCCTCACGACTGTACTTCCATGCATGTGATAAATGACTTCAATGCTCAGCCTGGATATTGGTGCAGTTGTCTACACAAGCTGTCTAAACAAAGGCAAGGAACAAGAGACTTTGGAAGCTTTGAGATTGTCTCATGTACACTAGTGAAAGAAAATGGCTTAGCTTTCCTTCAATATAGATGTTCCACAAAAAATTAGAGCTTCTTGCTTTTTCTCACTTGCAATACAGTTTCTAGTCACAGTTTTGCCAGGGAATTAGACTGCAGTTTCTGAAGATAACCTCTTGTTTTCAGGTTTGGAATCATAGTGGCAATAGCCCAGAGAAAGAGGAATGGATCACATAATCTCAATTGGCCGACGGAAATAAAGATATTCACTATCTTGGCCAGGGGATTTTGCAAGTTCATTGTAAAGTAGAAAAATTGCCATAATAGAAGGGATGATCATGTCATAGTTAAGTATGTCAAGTTTAAACCAAGGCTTCTGCCCCAAGTGTGTCAGGCTTCAAATGTTGTATTTTAACTGCAATTTAGACCCCATCAAGGTACTAGCAATTCTAAATTAATACTCTGGCTGCATATTGGAACACAACGTTGCTATAGAGTCTGAGCATCTTGCCCTTAGACTTAGAAGAATATGTGTATGTGTAGAAGAGAAGGAAATACAGTTTATTTGATATGCCCATGTGGAATAAATCTTAATAGACCTAATTATATCTTCTATTTCTGCTTGTTGCAATGAATTTTAAATTCCTCTCTCTTTTTATAATAATAAAATCCCAATATCCTTCTTCAGAATATTTTTCTTGACACTCTCCATTCCAAAATCTCATGAAATGATATAAAGTGTTCCCCATAAACCCAAAGGACTTTTGCAAGCAATTAGGCAATTAAGGCTCCTGATGGAATGTCCTTTGCACCTGTTGCAGGTACATTCAAATGATCTATCTATGGTTTGAGCTGTCTTTCTGAGTGGGCAGCAGGTAACCTTACCCATGGGGAGCTCTGTTACTGAGATTCAGCTAAGATGAATTACACTTGAGGCAAATCAGACCTCACAAACTCTTCCTTTCACAACAATTTTCTGCAGTATTGTGAAATGGCCCTCAAATTTTTTCACGATGGACACATTTATTTTTCATGTGCTGTCAGAAGTGACTTTCTGCATGAAAATTCAGCTGACAGCCAGTCTGTCAGTGAAAGAAGGGGTATGAGCTCATGTAGTTGGTCTGTCTGTCTCCCACTAAAGGCCACTGAACTGGTTGGCTGCTTGTGACCAGTTCTGGTGGGATAAAAGCTGGAACTGACAGTTTTCTCATTGTTAGCTGAAAATACAGGAAATTACCTCAAGGGACAAATGTGACAGCAAACTGCAGGCAGCATGAAAGAGTTGTTATGTACCAGGTGAGCTATGGCAGCTACATCTTTCCTAGCAGAGCTGCTTCTTAGATTTGACCCTTTCAGCTTAAGGTTTTCTATTAAAATTCTTTACTTGGGCACTACCTGGCATTTTGGAAACTGAGAAACATCTCTTTAACTAGGCTGCCTTGCTTTACTGTCATTAACCAAGGAATTTTGTAGGCAGGAGTCATCTTAGTATTGTTCTGTTTTATCACCACTCTTTATAAATAGACATAGCCCCATGGCCAAATCTGACATGTGAAAAAAGCAGTACACGTGGGAAATAACTCTGCTGACACCAGTGGAATGAAACAGTAAATTGGTGTAAACATGAAGAGAATTGGATTGCAGAATTTGTTTTGTTCCATCTTGGATTAAAAGGCCCCACGGTCTGTTTCTATAAGAAAGGCAGGTAAAGATTTTGGTTTTGAGATATTTTTACTGAAAGAAAGAACATTCAAATTTTGCAACTCTGACACATGTCCAGATTTCCAGGACTCAGATGAACAGCTCATCTGGGAAAACAATTTTTGTGCTGTATTGTAGTCCACATTCAGTTATGTTTAAGTCTTACCCATGCTTTACAAAGTCAAGGCTGTTGCCAGCAGGTCTGCCCTTCTCCTACCTGTTTGTGAGGATAAACATTAATGTGGCACTTGATACATTCTTGTCCCATGTTAGCCCAGGAGTTTCCACTCATCCATTTTCTCTTGCATTTGGGGCACTTATATTCACCAAAGCAGCGTTTCTTGCCCTGGTATGGTGTCAGTCCTTCTCCTTTTGGACGAGCCTACAAAACAAAGGGAAGTAGCAATGAATGACCAAAAATGGGTGGGTGGGTGTGTTGGGGCAGAGGGGGGAGTAGAAAAGTAAGGGCTTTTTCAATTAGAAAACTTTAGGCAAAAGAGGCAGACATGCAGGTCATATCCCCTTAACGAAGAGTTCACAGGTTGTAGCTAGATTTTAACAGTTCTGCAAGTTGCTTCCATAAGAAGTGTTCAAAAGTTTAAGGAAACTTAGTATACTTGTTAGTGTCACTGAACATAACATTTAGAAACATTACATAATATACATTGCATATACATATATATATATACACACACATTGTGATACATACATAAACATTTCATTAAGATAAGGTCATCTCTATTGAGTACTATTAAGTACTATATTGCTAGTAATATATTTATAGCATCAGAAATAGCAGCTCACTAGTAAAGGACTGTATTTCTTGACTAGGAACTGTAGTTAAGAAATCTAGTCTATTCTCAACTAAAGCCTATCATTAAGAGGATTTTTAATAATTCAGCTTTGCACAGCCTTTAAGCAATTAAATATTGGCAGTTCATTAGTACATGGATATGCATTATTACATGGGAGTGCACAAACTTGGATTGAATATGAAAGACATTTTGAATAGTGGAAATAAATTTTATTAACTTTATTTGGTTTCTTGCTCTTGGTAAATGATTTCACTGATTTCTACCGTCTGAAGGAAAGAGAAAGGGATTCTCAAATGGACTGTTGTGATGTCTAAATGTTAAATGTCCCTTAAAGAAAGCCTTTTCATTTAGGGATGCTAGTCGAGTTGACAATGACCTTAGGCAAACACCAAGTTTGTTTTTTGTAGACACATTCACTCATTAAAACTGTGTGTTGTACTTAACAAAATATCGTAAGATATGACAAACTGATATATTAAGGTGAAGGTGACAGTATCACATACAGCTGTCCTAAGATAGCTGTAAACACTAAGCCATTTTCCCAGAGTCTCTAGCAGGTGTTGAAACACTGCCTATGTATTCACTATGTTTAGTTTGTTGTTGCCCAGAGGGAGATACTTTGCCTGTATAGTGGCAGAATAGTATGATCACCTATCAAAGGATTGTTTGTCACTTATTTATATGTCATGCCTAGGCAGCATTTTGTTTTTTAAGGTTCCCAGCTAAGTTTACAAAAGTTAAATGACCCATTGTGCTGGGAAGGGATTTGTTTTTTGTTCTGAGAGCTTGTAGTTTCTCAGTGTGTAGGTCCAAGTTGCTTTCTATGCGAAAACACGGGTTGCAAAAGCAGGTGGTTGGCAGAAGACCTGAGCTTGGCAGGAGCTCTGAGACTCAAGCTCCTGTGGCTGATGGAGATGGTGTACACTGTGTTACCTCCAGGGTTGCATGTGGGAGCAAGAGGGAAAGGAACACTGAGTGTGCTCTCCCACGCATGCTGGTGGGTGGAAGAAGACCAGTGGACCCCAAAACTACTCTGACCTCTTTTTTTTCTTTCTGTAATGTCAGTAAACAACATGCTCTGTTGGTTTTTTTAAGGTTTACTCCTCGGCATAGCAATTCTTTACAAGACCAGATGCAGTAGCAAGCTCCATTACAAATAGGCAAACATCTATAATAATTTGCTTCATGCCACTCAATCTGATAAGCTACTGTAAATATTCTGGCTCATAGCAAAGATGAAGCTGACACCAGGACACATCTATTCAGTAGTATTGCACAGAAGAAAAAGAAAGTTCATTGGTATGATGAGAAACATTTGAACTGCCACAACTAAATGAGTGCTGCCAGGCACCCAGAGTGTAACCCTCTGATCCATGGTGTCCCCTGATAAGGATGAGAGATTGCAATATGTTATGTCAGCCATAAAGAGCATTTAAACATCACACTCCCACAGCAATATGTTGTGCCAGCCACAATTCACAGTCAGGAAGCTTTCAGAGATGGTGGCTTTGTGCAGGCTGGTAACTGTGGGTTCCTCCAGATCAGGTAGCTGACTTAGGACACACCAGTGCCCTGAAGTGCTCTGCCCTCACAAACGCACTGGAGGCCACTGAAGATGCTAGTCTGTGAAGTCTGTGTGTACAGCAGGGCATCAGAAATGAAAGCTTTCCAAATGAGAAGCTACTTTTAAAATCTTCCTTCTCCAACTTTCTTGGTAAATCAGAAGCAGAACCAGGAAAAGAATGTAGGAGCCCTGACTCTGTCAGTAATTTCCCGTTATAATTGCTAGACTAAACTTCTCATTTATTTTTATTTTATCTTTTTGACTGTCACAGTTCCCTCCTCAGTCAGTGACTTTAATTAGTTTGCTGGCAAAGCTACAACACTCTCTGTAGGTGTTTTGCTATTATGCTTTATGGATGTTTATATACTGCCCTAACAGATATTATTTTCCTTCCCATATCTTCAGTTTCCCAAGCTGTGCCCCACAGGGAATTTGGATTCTCAAGCAAGCAAGCTCATTTTCTCTAGTAAGAAACACTATTAGGAAGCACTGACAGCAGCAAAGGCAACCCTCCAACTCCCTCCACCCTTCAGATCCGAACAAAGCATATATTTGACAGTATTTGGTGGAAGACAAAACCTGAGTGAGATACACTAATGGCCTGAAAGATCTGAGGCTGGGTGTTTTCTTTATTATTTTCTTTTTTTTTCCCTTTTTTTCCTTTTTTTTCCTTCTTTTAAAGTGTCTGGCTGCAGCAGCAGCACAGCTGAGTTGCATAAACATTTCCAAGAAACTGCCTGGTCCTTGGCACAGGAGCAGCCAGCCCTGCCCGCAGGGTGCTCCAGCACCCGGTCACCCTGTGACAGAGGTATCTCAGTGTTCATCCAGCTGGAGGCAAGAACTATTTTCACCAAAGGTTTTCCTTAATAAGTGCTGAAAAGGAGCAATAAGGCACATTTTTTTTCACTTGGTATTAACCTAAGAACCTTATTTTACAGAATGTAGGATTTACTTCTTTTAGACCATTACCCTCCTATTCCCTCCCCACCCTGGCTCCATATGAATGGTGGTTAATAACAGGCCTTGGTTGGTGTTTAGGTTCTGCAATTCCCATACAGGGCATTATCTCTTCTTACTATTTCTGCAGATAGGATTTTTTTTATACTTGGAGTCTACCTGGTAGAGTTACGCCCCTATGCATAAGGGCACAATATTTCGTTGTTACCATCTTAACATATGCTGTCCCACAAGTCTTTGGCCCAGTTTCTATCCTTGGCTGCAAAAACCTGCTGGAACTTTTATCTTTCCATGTTTGAAATAATATTCAAACTAGGTTACAAACTGTGACATGAACAAGGATTTTGTTTTCTACATTCTTTTTGTCTGGGGAGTTGAGAACTTTATGCTTTAAATGCTGATCTGACAGACTTCCTCTGTAAAATCAAAGCTCCCAGCATGTCTCCTGCAATGTGACCAACTGGCTCACCAACAGTGATGTGTGTCTTCATTCAGACATTTCAAGGATTTAATACAGCCAGGACAGGTAGGCCTTTGGGGAGGATCACAACCAAACAGATTCTACAAGGACTAGAAACTAGCCAGTACTTGAAGTATGTCTCAATGTCAAGATCTAGGTGTAGGCAACATAGCCTTTGTGTTGTTTTGACTTTGGACAAATGCTGAGACAAGTGAAATCACCTTTGCAGGTGTACCTAGCCAGTCTGTTTGCCTTAGCTGGATCCAATGTATGCACAAAGCCAGTGGATTTTGTGTGGCACAGCAATGAAAATGACCTCAATATTCCATCCTTCACTGACACCCTGCTGTCTCTATTTTTCATCCTCTTTCTTTCTTTCTTCAGCCAAAACCACAAGTTGGCCATAATAAGATTTTAAAAGTGTTTAAGTTGAACTTTTCTGCTGGTAACTAGCCAGTTCAGCTCCTTCTCAACCTATCCAATGGTGCATCTCATAGAGGCATTTGCCAAATCACTTGGCAGTGATGGTCATAATAAAGGACTCTTTGCTTTCCCTAGACAATTCCCTCAAAGTATCAGTTTGCAGAGTCAGCAAAACCAAAACATCCCTCCCCTCCTCCATGCCCTGCTTAAAAGTAGATTCATTATAAACAACATGGTGCTGAGAGTTCCCTCAAAGCAAAATGCAGAGGAACAATGTGTTTAAAGCTTTTCTTCCCCTCATCTTCCCCCGAGTTTGTTTTACACAGCTGAAAGGCTGTGTAGAGCATGGGGAAAAATGAAATCAGCATGACACTGGTAGGTGGATCCCCTTCATAGAAGAACTCTGGGAGGGTCTGCTTGTAAGCATGCTTCATCAAATAAAGCAGCAAAGCAATAATAGCAAGCAACAGCTTGATGTACTGACCGGCTCCCAAGTGGTTTGTAGAAGGGTCAGAGCTGTATTTTGAAATATGAACGCTTGAACACTCTCAATTGAAAGTCATCACAGCTAGGAGATGGCATTAAAAACCCCTAGCACTCTTACTTTGTGCTACTGTATGTGCATAGTTTTGAGAAAGATGAAATGATGATAACATGTACCCCAAATGTTCAATTAAAAAAGGGAAAAAAAAGTATTAGGACTGATTTGGTGTACTGGGTGTTTTGGTGCTCTAGTCCTGACTGCAGCAAGTTGGGAAATTCACAGAAGTCCTCTGACTTTTCTCAGCTCTGTGAAAGCTGCACAGAGAATAGGACACATTTGTACACTTCTGTTGAAATGGCACATGAAATGGAATCTTTAGATTGATCAGCTCCTTCCTGACTTTTGTGCTCATATCAATCTGAGTATTAACAGAATACATAGATATGTTATGTGTTTAGGAAACGAATTCTAACGTAGCTGGTCTGTTGTTGCTGTGTGGAGTCAATATGGTTGGTGTATGACATTGCTGATGTGCAACACTGGGGACTTCTCAGGTATTTAAATCAACAGTCACTACATCTTTACTTAGTATAGACAATATAGAAGGAGCATCTAGGGGATACAGAAAACAAATTAATTCTTTGTTCAGCTTTGTCTCTAGTTCAATTCATGTATTAGT